CAAATAGCTTGTTTAATGGCATATTGGACCCAGCATGCTATAAGAATAATCCAGAATGATTTAAAATTTACCGAATAGGTTTCAAAAATCAAGAAGAAATAAGGTATTCAGTTTTCTCTAACACTCCTCTTTATAGAAAAAGTAACCCCATGCTCAGAAAATGAAAGTGAGCCTTCTGGATCATCTTTAGCAGGCAGGATTTGTAATATTTATCCAGCAAAGCACCATGACAAATCTTTCTGTACGAGATTTTCACCTGAAGAAGCTGATGGAGCTGTAGAAATCCATCATCACCCAAGCACCTGACCCTCCAGCTTCTAAGCTGTGCGTCTGTTCCTGCTGCCCTGTGAGTCCCCAAGCCTGGAGAAGGTGGAGGTCACGCTGATGGGCACATCTGTACACTATCTTGCTATAAGGGCCCACGTGCTTTTGGCAACACAGCTCACAGCTGGGTCGCGAAAGGATCCGCGCTCTTCGACGCGCCCTGGAAGTCAATCCATGCGGTGGAGCAGGCACGAGTCTGGTAGGGGGCCAAGTCACCTCCTTCAGACAAGAAAACACAGAGGATGTGTGCTGCTGTAGAAACAACTGCGCACTCATTTCTGCCCAGTGACCCTCAAATCCGTCTGCTGGACACTGCAGAGGCAGCTTTGCCTCCAACTAGATCTCTTCAATCTATAAGGAAAACTATTAGGATCTCTATTTTTAAATTCCTTCTCTCTTGCAGCATATATGATCACACAGCACATGCCAGTAAATTATATGCATTTACAAAAGCTATTAAATAACAGTAACCCCAGAGGCTGATAAATGAAAAAGATTTTGAAAAACGTCTTTACCAATGATCTCAAGTTGAAGAGAAATGAATTGTTCAGCTAGTACATAGTATTTTTATTTTAAGGGAGCAGGGGAATGAGGAAATAGGGTTTTGTTTTTTTTTCCACATGCCAATTAATAGGAGCAGTTAGATAAAGGAATGCGTAGGTGAACTCTAGTCTGGACAGGGAAATAAACGGAGGCCACGAACCGAACTGATCCCGTTTGCTTCCTCCGCTGCCTCCAACCGGTCCCTCCCCGGCGCAGCCAGACAGAGCCAGCGGGGCCATGGCAGACACTCCACTGCCACTGCTGCCCAGGTCCAGCCTGCCGTCTCCCTGCAGCCCTGGCTCCATGTGCCACCTGCTGGAAGCACGACAAGCCAGGGCTAAAGCCTCTGTGCTTCAGTTAGACCATGGACAACTCCACTCCAGCCTCCTGTGCATGTTCAAAATCCCAGATTTCTTGTTCCTAGCCAGCAACACCAGCATTTCATTATCCACCTGGACCGTTTCCTGCTGGTGGGGACCTCTAATTGCTCTTACTTCAGGAAGAGAAGAGGTACACAGCCCGACTGTGGTCATATCCATGAACCGTGGCTATCAAGACATCCAAGCACGGCTCATGTCTTCTGCTTTCTGAACAGAAGCAAACTTTTGAGCCTATGTGCATTCTGGAGGGGAACCCTCCAAGGCAGTTAGATTAACTAATCAGTAGTTGTATCAACAAGAATGGGAGCGGGAGGCTTCCCACTCACAGCAGTCTTTCCTCTGCAAATGGAGAGGAAGTCCTTCCCTGTCAGGCTGCAAAGAAATAGATGCAAATGTTTTAAGTCTTCCAGCTGCTGAGCCGATTCCTCGGCAGCCTGCTTGCTTCTCCAGGGCCTCCTCGGTGGGATGTTGTGGCACGCCGAACCAAGTTAGAGGAGGAGCAGAGAAGGACTTTGTGAGAAAATTGGTCCTGAAAATTCCTGCCTGAATCATTTGGGCATGTGCCCTATAGGAGTGCACAGGCAGGACAGATGTAGACACAGGTAGCCACAGTGTCGGCAGCAGGTACTACCTGTGGTAGCCCTCCTTGAAGCCGGAGGGGAAGCTTCCTGCAGCCCTGACCCTTACAGCAGCTCTATGGAAATATAGGGGCCATCCACATTGGACTGCCTGAAGCACTGAAGCATCTCTTCCAGCCACATCCGTAGGAGTTCACAGGCAGTTTCTACTTTAAAAAGTCCCACACTTAAAAAACACTATTTATTGTCAACAAAACTTAATTTTTCTTCCTCATTTCCTGCTTCATTTATTTTTGTTAAACCCCACAGAATGGGGAAAAAAGGGAGGAGTATGAGAAGAAGTCAGAGCTGAACAAAATGTCTTTGTTATAATGTATAATAAAATTTCAGAGACTACTTTCTGGAAAAATATTTCTCTCTGTTAAAACTGCCTAACAAGGACAACAGCTTACACACTGCGGTGAACGGGGCTCTTTGTAAAGGTGTTTTTTGTGTCTCGCTTGTGACACGCTGTATCTGTCGCACAGTAGTACAACGTGCAGAGAACGTGTAACACCTTCCCCAACAGCTACGTTTGAGGAAGACCTGGCATCTGTACCAGAAGCCAGAGCTTCCCACATAAAGACATCAGTAGACCGTGTTTCCCAAATTTTGTACTCGCTTTAGAGTTTGGAGAATTTCAGGTGATGGGGAAATACATGTGTTCCTGTCTCATTCCTTCTGCACGCTTCTTTCATTTGCAACGTAAGAAATAGCCAAGCCCTTCAAATTAAGTGTGTCTGGATCTCTTTATAGACACCTTTTAAGAATTTTAGTCACATTTCTGTAATCTGCTCCCCCCTCAGATTTAACCGATAAACGGATTACTCTAAGGCACTGGTATTTATCTACTGTACCACCCTGCCTCTGTTTAGCTTTAACAGTCATCACTTTCCACATGTGACATCAATCTACATGATATCAATGTAAACTGTTTGTATAACAAAGTGTTGTACATTTTATTGTCCTGCCAGCAAAGAAAAGCATAAAATAGCACTTTGCCTGTTGCCTCCAACAAAGGTAGTATAATTGACACCACGCATTTTGCAATACAGAGATGGCACCACACATTGGCCAGTTTTTTCTTCCTAACACAGCAGGGCTTGCAGATTTTACCACATCATTATTTTCATAACAAATACTTTTAAAGAGTAGTAATTTTTTTTTGTTTTTATAGGGAGTTAAAAAAATCTGCTTCTTAAACCAAACTAGATTTTAAATACACATTATTAATTTCTATGGCTAAGATTTTTGTGGCTCTGGTTTGATAATGAGATAATTGCCTCGCAAAGGTCAAGAGAATGGCATAGTTAGCTTTCAGAGACTGAACAAAGCACTTGCTATGGTTCACTAAGCGTAGTTTCTGCATCAATCCACATCTCTTTGATTCATCTATTACTAATATTCCATGATACACTTACATTATGGATCCAACTATTTCAACAAACCTGTAATCAAGGAATGACCCTGAATAAAATACTCCACAGAAAGCAGATGGTACACTCATCAAACGCCTTCAAGCCTAAAATAACCTTTCCCATATAAGAAGGATAGTCAATTAAAACTGAACTTTATATTCTGAGCCGGAGCTCAGAGTAAATAAAAATCAACATGACACTATTGTGTTATTGGACCAAACTTCCAGGGCATTTCATTCATTTTTTCACCACCCCCACCTCCTAAGAGCAACCAACACTTTTATTCATAGCTCATTCAAAGCCTGTAACATTTTGTGTGAGCGTGAGCGGACTTGACAGCTTGGGCCCGATCCTGCAAAAGCTTGACATCACAAAACTGAAGCTATTCACAGCAGTAATGTGCTCCAGTGCCGCCGCCCCGTGAGGACGGATCTCTCCTGCGTGTTGCGGGTTGATGGGTGCAGCAGCAGAGAAGCAGTCCTGCCCTACCTCACAAAATGCCCCAATGCCACTGGCTGGGTCGGCTTTTTTCTCTGCCAACACAACAAGGCTCGGACCGGGCACTGAGCTCAAAGCCAGTGTACTTGAGTTAGGAAAAAGGGGGAGACGATTCTCCCATCACAAGCATCATTGAACCCCTTCCTTCTCACGCTCATTATGATACATGAAATACATAATCAGAAATTCTCTCTCTAAGAAACCACAAGAGCTTCCTTGTAGAGATGCAGGGATCTTGCCCAGCAAAGGCGTACCCACCGCTATGCAAACAGACTTTGTGAGTGTTAGCTGCAGTGCTCATCCATCTGGTGATATGGGTAATAAAACTTAATTCTCACAGCATAAGTACACTGCTAAAGAAATTACACTGGACCCAATACTGGAGTTACCCTAGGTGTGTACACAACATGCATTCTGCCACACATTCAGCAGCATATCCGCTGCCCTTGGGTTGATCTGACACATACACATACACACAGGAAAAAAAAAAAAAAAAAAGTGTGAAATCACCTGGCAGCTATCAGGAGTCAAATCTTGCAGCCCTCTCTCCCAGCTGTAAGGGGCTGCTTACTGCTCTGGAGCTGCAGAGTATTCTCTACACCCTTTGAATTAAGAGGTCACCTCCCAGAAGTGCTTCTGCACTTGTAAAATGGAGCTCCTAGCACTGGCAAAGCCCCCACTGAAAAAGCCCACACTCCAGGAAGGCCAGAAACACACCAGCTATAGCTGACATTTGCCCAGGGCCCTGGGAGCATACCCATGGTTGATGAGTGCTCTGCAACAGCAATGGGACGCGCAGGGAGTCGCTCTTACTTTGCGTTTGTTAGCATACTGCACCAACAACGACTTTAAAAAAACCCAACACGCTTTGTAAACCTTCTGGAAAGACACAGGCTATAGGTGAACGGTTAAGGTAGATAAATTTCAAATCCAGACAAGAGATCCTTTCACTCGTACTGAGTAATTGTGCTACGCGCTCCACCCGTGTAATGTTATCTTTGATCGTGACAAAGTCAAGCTGCAATACCCAGATCACCAGTAGCTAGAAGCCTTCAGTCTCACGGAGGAAAGAGCACACTTGGTACTTAACATTTCAAACATAAATAGCATTGGCTCACTTTAAAGGAATCACATCTTCCCCTTGGAAATCAGTGGACACTTTAAAAGATGAAAAATGTCTTCACTTGTGAGAAAAAGAAAATAGCTGTAACATCACTTACCAAACTCATCACATATACTTTCATTTTCTATTAGAGTAGGATGATCAAACGTATCCCGACAGTAGAAGATTTGGGGGTTCTTGCTTGTTACTGCAATGCCTCCCAGGGCTAAAACAAACTGGTCTGTTAATATTGAAGAAGGCTTGTCCTGAATGCGCTTTAACATGGAACGATATCGACAGTACTGTGGGTAGCTGAGAATTAGCAGGTTTGAATCTTCATCATCCTCACCTGGAATGAAAGAAAAAAAATGATACTGTTAGCATGTCTGAAAAATGCAAAACAAGGGCTGTAACTCAAGCATTTCAGAAAACTCATGGCCCACTGGTTCAGTCTTTTCTCAAGACTTATCTTTTATAGCACAGTGGTTTTTGAAAGAAAGGTTAAAAATAGACATTTTAAAAAAGTTTATTGAAACAGCTTCTTTTCTGGCTTTCTATTCAGTTCTCTCATGCTTACCCAAAAGAACTCTACCTGGATGAATAAGAAAACACCGCTCTGCAAAAGCTGGCCAACGGCCTGAATCAAAGTGCTCTCCACACTTTGCCAACTCGGCTGCTTTGATAGAAATATTATCTGTCATTTTTACTCAGCTCCCTATACAGCCTTACTGAACTCATGTTTACACCAGCTAACGTCTTTTAAAAATAATAATATACAAGCCCTAGAGCATGCAGCTATTAATTCTCCTTTGAAGTAGCTGATACTGGCAACTACCAAAGGGCCCCTGGGCCGGGCAGGTGGGCTGATCTGACCTGGTCATTGATGCTAAGCTACTGGCACAGGTGGAAATAACTTTCCTCACATTAACTGCAAATGCAGCAGGACTCAATAAACACCTACAGAGCACAACCAGCAAATGAATTTCCAAAGAGCTCATACTATCGAAATGTGGGCTCAAAATCTAAAGCAATCTAGAGCTCAGACCTTTCCGTTCCCCCACATTTTAGATGGTATTAGGCATAAAGGTGGCAGATTTTGAAATATCACAATCAAGTTTCATCATATGATAACCAGCAGGAAACCTAACAGCAAAAAAAAAAAACAACCAGAGACAGAAACACGAGAAATTATTCCTTTGCAGGTTCGCAGCCAGTACTTAATGGCACTTCTTTTTATGCTTATTTATCTCCTCAGGTAGGGTAACTAAACATGGGCTTTCCACGAATGCCAATGAAGACAAAGCAAGTGCATTCAGTTTACATTTTCTGCTGTACTCTAATTACCAAGTAACTCAGCTATTTCTTCTGTCAGAGACAAAAGGTCTACTATTTAATCCCTTTACCAGTACTTAAATCGTCTTTCTTACCCTTAAAGTAAAAATCACTTCAGTTATTGAAAGAAATGTTAGATCAGTTCTCCCCAGCTAAATACGATGGTGCAACTCATCTTGATTCGCGTGAGGCAATGGAAATGTTGACACATAAAAAGGCTAAAATTTAAGAAGTCTCTGGAAGCAGATATATCACCTAGGATGTCATCACTGCAGACAAATGCAATGCTGCAAAAAAAAAATCAACACAGTAGACGGACTTGGGAAGTACTGTTCTTACACACACAGCTCCTGAAAGCCATCACTTAAAAACTCAGAACTTCCCCCACTACCCTGACGTAGGTGGGGAAATCAACCAATTTGTGTAAAAAAGTAATGTATTCTGGTAAACAGCATTTACATTACTTTTCTAAGAAAACAAAATTAATGGCTCTAAAACCTCTTTTGGTCAATAAGGATGTGGTCATGCTTTTCTTTGTTTTCAACAACTAAGTAGCCCATAAGCCTACACAACAGCACGATTAAGCCAATTGCTCCTGGGAATATGGCTCTCTCTCCTTTATTAGGAAACTCTAAAAATCAGATCAGGAAAACTGTTCTTGGAATTAACAAGCACATGATCCATCCTTTAGCTCCTTCGAGAGTTTCATATATGCCTGCCTGACAGTTATTACTACTTTATACCTTTGTGCAGATAGTGGTGAGCTGAATCTGTCGATCTGACAGCACTTTTCTTATGCCAGGATGTGGTCAGCTTTTTAAACAGGGTGTACATAAATGTATGTCCCATGTGCCTTTGTAGTCAACCATTAGTTTCCAGACAAATGTGCTGTAAGTCCCTGCGAAGAATTACACAAACTTTCTACCTCTGACAACTGACGACTAACTCAAACCCCTGGCATAAATTAAAATCAAGTCATTTTCTACAGGATCACTTTTACATATGCTTGTGCAACTCCAATGAGTACTTTATGATGCATTTCTTTCCTTTCCTTATTCACTCCAGGTTCAATAGATAAAACTAAGAACGAACAAAGGCTGAATAAACTAAAGATTTGTTTAGTGAAAGACAAACAGAGCGCTCCTGGAACAAAGACTTTTTTCCTCAACCACGCCCACATGAGAAAAGACAAATCAAAGTAGACCAATCCCTAATAAAATGTTAAGCCCAAAGAAGTATTTTTCTTGTAGCAAAGCCTAACATGCACCATTTAATGGTGAACTTAGTGTATATTGATGAATGCTTTTCATAAATATGATTTTAGGAAGAGTTTACTCTTAGGAGGAGGAGAGATCAACATGTGGATCACATTCCATTAAAATAAAGAAAAACAATGTAATTTCTAAAAACATTTAACTGAGATCTTAGAAAACTGAGATGCTGTATTTCTGAATCTCATTTGAGCTTCAACAGAGAGAACATGGTAAAAGATAATACCTACAGTACGTTGTTTGTAAGGTTCGACTGAAATTACTCTAACCCCATGCTTATATCGTAATTGTGCGTCTTAATAACCCCCTCCAATGTCAATTTTTCATTTATTTATATATTTCAGGGCTGAAAACAGGGAAACTGTAATTAGGAGGCAAGGTTCCACCCCTGCTTTCCGAGCACTGCCTATATATGCATAGATGTAATCCAACAGTTCCCTTTGTGAGGAGTAAAGAGAGCTGGGATTTGGCACAGCCTGGCATTTATGTTGGATTACATGTTCTTCAAGTTGTCTTTGTAAGTAAGAGATGCATGAAATGCCAAACACAATGAATCTATGCAAGAACTGACTTTTCAAATCAGCACAACCATTTTTAATATGTAATGCAAGACAATTAAAAGCCTCAAAAGAAAAAAAAAATAAAGCCTGCTAAAAGCATGAATTCCTAACAAATCCGTCTAGAGCCAGAACTATTTACAGAGAGAGCAGAGAAATACAAAACTGTAACTCGCTTTTTGTTTGCTTGTTTCGGAAACATCAGCCTATAATGTTATTGCTAACCGCCATAATCTACTCTCAACATCAGTAAGCATTTTTTTCTTTAAAAAGACCTTCACACCAGGATTTTATAGAGCTTGATGGAAAAACTATGCATGTTCCTTCCTGTAGCTAATTACCTCAACTGCAAAAGCTGCCAAGTATTTTGCCCTTTAGTTCTTTTAATCGTATTAGTGCAAATGCATTCGGATGCCAACAGAAACAAACATATAAAGATTTTTGCTTAAAAGATTCCAAATATGTATGAGGCTGGTGCTAGGAAAGCACACTCCACTTTTTCCCGGAAAGCACAGAGTTATTTCTGCGGAAGAAATATATGAATTTGTGCCTCTTGTAAGACTAAATGTCTAGTTTCGACCCAATTTAAGTAAAATAATGTCAATACGAACTGCTCTCACAATGATTTATGCTACCTTCTGTTACTTTATTACATTAGACATTCCTTTCTCTAAGCTTTATACTTTTCGCCGTGCTCCTAGCAACCACATAAAGGCTGAGCACCAACTTTATGCGCCTGGCACCCTTCCAGGCTCGACTGTTATTGATAATTATATTGAAGTTTCAATTTAATTGCTACTCTGTTGTGACACAGAATATTTTTTGTAATTAGGCATTTCCCATTTTCTGTCCATTCATTTTTTGTATTACTGAAAATGATTTTTTTTTTCTTCCCCAGAAAACATAAGCAGAACAATGATACAGATAAGGGTATGTACATCTGTTACTACCATTACCAACACAGTAATGTGAAGGGAAGAAAAAAAAAATAAAGGAAAAAAAAATTGTGAATATAATTTCTTGGAAGGTAATTTTCTTTTCAGTTTAAGTGCTCTTATTCTTCTTACAGTTACTCAATGATTTCCTGTTCTAATTACAAGACATTATACAGAAAGTCATTTTTAAAAAGGAAATGTACTAGAGCAGGAGGCTAAATAGCGTCACTCGCTTGGTATGGTTTGACATTCCAAACTTTTGCATCTCTTTTATCAATTCTCTGCTCTACCTTTGTCCAATATATTCCACCACAAATCTACCATCTCTTCCGAGGCAGTTAACACAAATGTATACATCAAAGATGAAAAAACACTTGCAGTTAAACTGCAGGCGAAAGAAAAAAAAAAA